GGGACCCCGCGCAGCGTCTCCGCAGCTTTTTTTTTTTTTTTTTTTTAAACTTTTGAGGGTAAAACCGGTGTGGAGAGCCGGGCCTCGGGTCTGACCGGTCCCCGAACGACTCGGGGCTCTCACGCCGAGACCTTGATCTGAACGCGGGTGTCGACTCGGCCCTCGCGCGAGCGCGGCCAAGTGGCTTGTGGGAGCCTCAGTTTCTACAATCGGCGAGGTCAGGGAAAGCTGAACTCAGCAGGGCGCGTTCTCAGCGGAGAGGCCCCGGGAGGAGCGGGGCGCGGCGGGGCAGCGGGCCCAGGGCAGCGCGCGCGCCTGGCGGGAGAGGCCCCGAACCGCCGGGCCAAGCGCACAGCCCCGCCAAGCGTCTCCGCCCTGCCAGGCACGGGTCCGGTCTCCTGTCTGCGCTCGGGGCCAGGTCCTGGCCGCAGGAGCTTCGGGAGTCTTTCCCACGTCCCTGGGTTGGAGCAGAAACCTTCGCCCTCTTGGCTGAACTAAGAAAATCCAGCATTCCACCGCATTTTCTAGAAAGCTAGACTTGATCTTAGCTAGAGAAAAATGATCAAGTTCTCCAACCCTTTCCTAAATGATCAGGATCTCGAACGCTTTCCTATCTTCCTTGGAACAATGGGCTGGGTCGGCAAGATTCTCTCCCCAGCAAAACTAAATGGACTCTACCCAAAACGGCGTCTTCACGTAGTCGTCATACCGTGGTTTCCCGCGGAGCTCCCGACCCCAGACCCGGAGACACTGGGAGGGTGGCGCTGGCATTGGCTGCGCGGGTCCCTCCCCCCCCTGAATCCGCAGAGACCCCAGACTGCGCCACCAGCCCCCGAGGAAGGTGAAGGCTGCTGCGGAGGGAGGGCCCGGTTCCCACCTCAGAACTGCCCAGCACACTCCTCTGGCGTCCAGCTCTGTGACCACAGCCCAATGCTTGGGGGAAAGAGCCGTGCCAGAGACTCCCAGACAGGCTCCTCACCTCTAAAACCAGGGCAGCCAGATCTCCACCCGGCACTCACGGCGGACGGCGTGTGCCCATGTGTCTTTTTGGAGAATACAGGCATACCTAACGTCTTTACCACCCAGGCTTCCCTAAATCCAAGGTCTTATTAGTGCAGGGGCAGGAACTGTTCAGAATCAGACACGTGCACGCGCGCACACACAGACACACGCATGCACACACACGCGCGCACACACGCGGGCACACGCGGGCACACACAGACACACGCGGGCACACACGCGGGCGCACACGCGGGCGCACACACGCGCACACACACGCGGGCACACACACGCGGGCACACGCGGGCACACACACGCGGGCACACACACGCACACACACACGCGGGCGCACACACGCGCACACACACGCGGGCACACACAACGCAGGCGCACACACACGTGGGCACACACACGCGGGCACACATACGCGGGCACACACACGCGGGCACACACACGCGGGCACACACGCATGCACACACGCAGGCGCACACACACGTGGGCACACACGCGGGCACACACGCATGCACACACGCAGGCGCACACACACGTGGGCACACACACGTGGGCACACACACGCGGGCACACACACGCACACACACACGCAGGCGCACACACGCACACACACACGCGGGCACACACACACGCGGGCACACACACGCGGGCATACACGCACGGGCACACACGCATGCACACACGCAGGCGCACACACACGCAGGCACACACGCACACACACACGCGCGGGCACACACACGTGGGCACACACACGCGGGCACACACAGACACAGAGTCTCCACAGAGAGGAGACCGGGCCTCACCCTCCTTACTCAGCCGGGCACTGCCTCCGACCCTGCCCTTAGACAGGACCTGCGCGCTCACTGCGCACGAGCTGCCCCTACCTGGCATTTCTGGCTTGCGAGCCCGGCGCCGCGTCTGAGAGCTCAAGGATCTCCAACTCCACCTGCTGACGCAGCGGCCGGCCCTCCATCTTCCACGCTCTCTGCTGGGGTGAAGTTTGACCCCACACTGCATGACTCCAGACCGGGTTTCCCCAGAAACACCCTGGGAGTGAGGGCCGAGAAGAAACGGGAACACCATGATCCTGGGCCGAGGCCTCAAGGTTCAGGCAGAAAAGCAGCCACCAAACCTCCCCACGCCAGGTGAGGCTCATCCCAGCCTCGCCACCAGAGGGCGGCCGTGGGCGCCGAGCTGCCGCGCACCGGGGGAAATTCCCCAGGCTGGCCTGGTTCCTGCCTGGCCCGTGTGGAGTCCGGCCCAGCGGCGAGGGTGGTCAGGGGTCGCGAGTCCTGTCTCCTGGGAGTGACCGGCGCCAAGGTGCCACCTCGTAGGCACTTCAGACGTGGACTTCTTATTGTTGGACACACACACACACACACACACACACCTGCAAGGTCTTACCAGTGCAGGGACGGAGCTGTTCAGAATCCCCACCTCCTCCCCCCACTCCGGCAGTCTCCCGAGAGGACAGTGCTGTGGACAGTGTGGCCTGGCATGGGCAACCTGCGCCTCCTCCACTGAGTCCTCCCAGCGGGGACGCCACCCTCCAGCCCCACCCTTACACCCTGAAAGGACCTGCGTGTGCGTGCGTGTGCACCAATATCTAAAATGATCATGGGTGCACGATGTGTGCATGCTTTTATATAGTTTCTTTTTCCTAATTACAAAAATGCTGTTTATTTTCTATTAAAAAACAGAAGCCAGGCACTGGTACTCACACCCGTAACCCTAGCTATCAGGAGGCTGAGATCTGAGGATCGTGGTTCAAAGCCAGCCTGGGCAAGAAAGTCCATGAGACTCTTATCTCCAATAAACCACGAGAAAACTGGAAGTGGCGCTGTGGTTCAAAGTGGGAGAGCGCTAGCCTTGAGCAAAAAGAGCTCAGGGACAGTGCCTGGGCCTTGACTTGAAGCCCCATGACCAACAAAAGTTAAAATAAAAAAAAAATGAACGAAGGAGAAAGTCCTATACATCTTAGTACAATATATGCCCATTACCAAAAGCTCTAGAATACAGACAAGCATACAGAAAACATAATTTCCCCTCAAAGATTGTTTGGATAGTTTCTGTTACAGTACGTAGCCAAACATTTGTCTCTGTGTATTATTACATGGATAGATACAGAAATAACACAGAAATGAAGTACTCCACAAATTGCTTGAACCAGAGAGCATGGTCTGGGAGCGTAGGGGCCCTGTCCGCCAGTCACAATCCAAACATTTTATTTGTTTGTGCACCGTTGATAATTTAGGCGAGGCTTAGTTTGGCTATTATGAATATTGCAGCAATAACTGGTGTGCCGTTATATATATATAGTTTCAGGAGCACTACAACTAGATCTTTTTAAATAGCTGCATACTCCTCCAGGGTATGGTTGCAGCATTACTTAAATAGCACTTGCTACTAGGCACTTAGGCTCTTTCCTTAAAAAAAAAAAAATTACAAATAGGATTGCAATGTCTCACCTGGTACTATCATTTTACACATTCCTATCTGTTGGATAGGTTCTGGGAGTAGAGTTACTGAGTCAAATGTTATGCGCATTTTCATAAATCCTGTCAAGCCCTCACATCTTGCACTGATTTTCGCTCTCACCAGTGATGCATTTGGGAATCTGTTCTCCTCCCTCACTGCCCCTCCTAGGAAAGGTGGTGTCAGATCTTTGAATTTTTGCCAGTCCGAATGGGTTGGGTATTATTTGATAGTAGAATTAATTTGCGTTTCTTCATTTGTGGGCAAGTGGAGCGTCTTTCTAGGAAACACTGTGGTGTGTGTGTCTGCGCTGCACACTCCGCCACTGCTCTCTCTGGCGCAGACACCGGAGGAAGTGCTCCAGGTGGACGGTTCCTAAAGAGTGCCTACTTTCTCTGAGAGCGAAGAGACTTTCTCTATTTCGAAGCAGTGATAACTACTGAGCCCTCCAGTTTTCAAAGGCTACAAGAGAACAACGATTTTAATTAGGATTTGAGGGTTTTTTAACCTGTGATTAAAAACCCATCCCAGCTTGTATTACTTGCTCTGCTTAATCTCAGCAAACTATAGAGTGATAACTGGTGGAACTAATGCAAATATGGTCACAATACCTGCTTTCAGTGTTACTGACAAGCCCTTCCTCCAATATTTATGCAATTATTTTCACACATGTCTACTCTCTGAAAAGGTTTCAGGTAGTCACTTGATTTTCCTTACTTGGAAGAAAGTCTTAGCACAGAGGAGCATCTCCACGTATTGGTAAACTCAGGATGGCTCTGCTGCAGGTGTGGTGGCTTCCCAGTGAGGGAGGCGAGCACAAGCCTGGCCGTACCTGCATCCCACAGGCATCTCAGGCAGTGCCCCCGCGGCAAGCCCCGTCTGGGAAAGCTCCAGCCGCTATCCGTGGAGTGGAACGGCCTTGCCACCCTAGTTCCTGTCATCTTGCCCAAGGTTTCCTGGCAACATTGCTGTACCTTGGTTGGCACTAGTAAACTCACTGAACTGTGGGAGGCGAAGTGGGTGTTGCAAGGCTCACACACCACCAGTGCAACCGGAAGCCAGATCTTGGGATCCTCACTTGGCTGCTGGCTACCCCGGCCCCAGCTGCTGTGAGTCTCCCCGGCCATCACTCGGAGCTCTGTGAGCCCTGGCAGGGGAGCAGCCCATCTCTCCCCGTCCCCGCAGACATCTAGCCCCTCCATTCCCCCATCGTCTGAGGCTGAAAGCTATCATCCCTCAGCTCTCTCGGGTCGGGTGGTCAAAGGGCTAACAGGACTGTCCCTCCACTGAATATTCTACATAGATACCATCTGATATTTATAGCTGTATGTTTTATACCCCGGCTTCTTTCTAAAGAAACCTAAAAAGGTCTTTGCAAAACAAAAGCATACACCTGAGAGACAGTGTCATCTCTATACCCCAATTTCCTCTTCTTAAATCCAGACAAACTGTTTTCTTCCTACTGGACTCATCAGGTGGAAAGACACAGGGAAGAACTGCACAGGCCTCCACGCTCTGCTCCATGCGTCCTTTATTCCATTACCAACCACTGTGCTGCATTCAAGCAACAGTACACAAACTGGCAATCAACCGCAATCCGGGTGCACAACAATCTGAGGTTTACAGTACATTTAAGGCTTTTAAATTTGAAAAGAAATTAAACCAAAGGACTCCCCCCAAAATCCCCAACCAACACAAGCAGTGTAGCAATTTTAAGAATCTTACATTTCCGATGCTTATTTGGCGCAATTCCAGTGTCAAACCCAAGTAACTCCTAAACAGATTAGTTTAGTGAAATTTTAATTACATAAATTCTTCAAAGCATAAACTTGGAATTTTTGTCTTGGAAATGTTATAAAAATTTTAATAGCAAAACATAGGAATAAAAACATATTAACAAAATGTATTCAATCATTTACATTACAAACAAGGAATCTGTAGTTCATCATTGTAGCCTGACAAAAGAAAACTACCCATTAAGAATCTATGCACAATGTAATTGCAAATATGTACAGTAGTTTAAAAAAGCCTACAAGGAGGGCTTTACAGTAGGAAAGTCAGCCAGGCTCTGTTAGACTGACCCAACAATCAAAATATTAAAACTCTGTTGGCTAGTAATAAATTTACACTTAAAAAACCCCCAGTTCCTTTTGTGTAAGAATATTCCAGTTTTATTTATATGGTTGCAGTTGGGGAGGCTGCTCATGATAGTTACAGTAAATTACTCTTTGAGTCATCTGTTTGGGAAGAAAACAGCATGTTAACCCAAATAAGGAACTCCTCACAGGAGTCTTCCAGTTACACTAGCACAGCTCACAAATGGACTGACCCCGGAACCCCGAGGCTGAGAAAAAACTGAGGTCAAATACCGGGAACACTGGAGGAGGGAGGGTCGAGTCCTACGTCAATAAATCAGAGAAGATGGCGAGGTGAGAAACAACGGGACACACTTTCTACAGCTCTGGAAGACGGTCCCACAGGCCACTCTAGTTCTCAGTTCCTCTGCAGGCAATGACGCTGGGAACCACTGCTCAATTAATGGGTGGCGGGAATTAGAACAACTCTAGATACAAAAGACGTCAAGCAGAGCACCCTGAAGGCTGGCACTTCTTCATGGTGACTGGGCTGTTACCGCTATCCTGTGAAAGCGTGTATAACACGGAGGGTGCTTCTGTTCACGGCAAATGAGGTAAAGCAGCGGCTGTCTTCAGGAGTTAGGGAGTTCGTGAGATATGAATTGTTTTAGTCTCTCTAGATACTGTGCATAGAGCTCTATGTCATTATGGCCAGCGCCTTCCACCCACAGGGGCTCCACGGCTCGAGGACAGCGCTCGTACATGGCAAGGCCGTGGGAGAAGTCGATGACCTCGTCCTCGGTGCCGTGAATGACCAGCACGGGAGAGGTGACTTTCGATATCTTGTCAATGCTGCAGAGGAGAGAAGGGGAAAGACGCTTTAGTTGTGTTCCCAGGAAGAGAGGGAAAAAGAGAGGAAGGGGGAGAGAGGGAGGGAAGGAGAGGAAGAAAACGGGGGAAAAAGAAGAAGAGGAGAGGGAGAAGGAGGGAGGGGAAAGGAGAGGAAGGGGGGAAGAGAGGAAGCCTCAAGGGACAGACGTCCCCTGACAACAACTAGGCTGACGCGAGCGAAGAACGAGGAGACGAGGAGACGGGGAGTATGAGGTTCTGTTTTGTTTTTTCCCCCAAGAGCAGTTTTAGCTTCACAGTAAAACGAAGAGAATACACAGAGACTGTCCGTGTACCTGCCACCCTGCTCGCGACCAGCACCCGCGTGACTGCATACGCTAACTCAGCTTCCCTGCCTTTGTTATTTCTCCCTGACAGACACACAACTTTTCATTTTGGAATAGATCTGGATTTAGAGGAGAGATGCAGAGATAATATAGGGCTCCTATTCGGTCCTCATCCATTTCCTACAACATTAACATCCAGCATGACCCTGGTATAGTTGTCAAAACTAAGAAACCAACTTTGGTACAAACAAAGAAGTTGAGACTTTATTTCGATGTCATTATTTTTTTTCACACAAATGTCCCTTTTCTGTCCCAGCATACAATCAAGAATACCACACAGCATTTAGCTACGGGGTTTTTGTTATTATTATTATAGGCAGAACTCCTAAAATATCAGACTAACAAAGCCACCACTGATATTTTAGGCATATTTATGTTTGGGGAGAGGATTAAGAAAGTAACAAGCTAGCACTATACATGTCTGAATGAATGTCCCTTTGGGAAGCTGGTCTTATTGAACTCATGTGGAGAACTCATTTTTTGAGAAAATTGATTAGCAAGATGCAAACCCTATTCCATAAAAGTGAAGTCTTTGTTGTGATACTTAAATAGGGTTCCCAATTACTTCTGCTTATAAAAATCAAATCTCTCAGAGGATAAAAGTCTGGAATCTTCAAACGTGGTGCTCCAGGCTCTGAAGACACATCCCAGGAGGACCGCGAAGGACGGTTAACCTTGTTGGTTTAGTGGCTGGAGAGCTTCAGTTGACCCACAAGTAAATCAAGAAAAACAAATCTCTCTGCTCTCTCCTCTAGGCAAAGACCTCTCAGCATTGACCTCCCCTTCTATATTTGATCTCAGTCCAGAGTTACAAAAGAAGATAAATGGGTACTATTTGTGAGAACCTCTGTTACAGGTAACAGCTAACGTGTACTAAGAGTGCTCTGTACCTTACACATAAAGCTCATTTAATCCTCAGTGAGAGATGATTGTGACCGCTTTATCCCTAGCATCAATGACACACAACTCACATGTGAGCACAACTCATGAATGGCAGCCACTTTGGGGCAAATCCCATCAGCCACGCCATCTGTGAGGATGGAGCGTGGGAGCTTAGCAATCTTGTCTGGAGACCTACTCTTCGACTACATGTACAGCTCCTTCCTTTCAAACTGAAAAGGTATCATTCCACTGTCACGTCTGTGCTTGGACTGCACAACTTAGGGGACCTTGGATGCGGCAGGGTGTATTTGAAGTTTTAATGCCATGGTCAGGTCCTAGTGCAATGAAAATAAAAAATAAGTGAAGCAATAGTCAGGACTTTTAAATTTATTTTTACTATTATAAAAGGAATGAGAAAGTATCTCCTTTGAGAATAAGAAAATAATAAGACCATGCTGCCATTTGGTACCAATGGACATTGAAAGAAAATATTTAACAAATTCAGTTAATGATCAAACTCAATGCAACATTAATGGTTTCTAATCTATCATACTAATAATTTATGGTACTGAATATGAGAAATAGTTTCTTTTTACTGTCTTTAGTCACCCAACTTAATTAATCCAATTACTTACCTTCTCTAAGCCTGAGGAATAAAGGAAGTAACAGTGCTGAAATGCACGACAAAAACCTGGCAAGTCAGAAAAACGCAGCCTACGCTGCTGTTCATTATGAATTAGGAAGTAATGTTATCACGGCTCTATGTTAAAGCATTGGCTAATTGAAGAGTTAGAAAAGGTTCAGTTTGTTGCCAAGGTAACTCCTGGCCTGGCTTCCCCAAGACATGCAATAAACTGGCCTCTCATTACCAATTCAGCTCAAATAAGGACACATCTGATGCAAACCGGCCTACTTAGCATTCCTAGACACCCGCCAGAGTGTGCAGTGCCATTTCCCCTTGAGTCCTGGGACCGACTGCACAGAAATGGGGTTCCTGTGGGACGGGCAATCTGCGGAACTGATGCAGCGGAACGCGGTCCGCGTGGTCCTTTCTCCCCTGGCAGTAGCAGCAAGGTGGCAAGGGACAGGTGGACGCAGCCCGGAAGCTGCATACGTCTGTAAGGGGCAAAATCAGCCGGGCACTTGTGCTACTTCAGCAATGCACTATGGGAAGTGGCCAGGGGCAAATGCTGTTTATTAACACTTCCCACCTTTTAGGTTAAAAAGGTGGGATCTTGTGATTTTGTGGTCCCTGTACGTCTTCTCTTTTCTATTACTGGGCAGCTTGCTGCTATCTGTCATCTCCAGTGGGCGGGCGGGCAGGAGACGCTGGCGGAGGCCTCTCACGATTCCTCTGGCAGCACAGCATTTCTGCAGAGACCAGGGCTGCTACTCGAAGTGCAAGAGCAGCTGGAAATGGTGGCCAGGCGCCTGTTCACACTCTGAGGCCAGCTATACCTAAACCGCTTTGCCGCGATGTCCTTTACAAAGACAACTTCATATGCTACCTTTCCTTGTGTCATCTGACACAGGTGTCAGAGGTGTGCTTGCTTGTTTTCTACAGTGTTGGGACCACTGCCAATGTGAATACGAGCAAATGAATTGTGGTCAGTCATACAGGTGAATGAATGGACGAATGCATTCTGGACTCTAAGCCGCTGTAGTGCACGTGGGCGCCTTTTCTGTTTTCTGGGTGGTGTGGTTCAGGTGTTCCCCCCGGGTCGGCAGGACTCAGCTCACGAACCCACGGCCCCTAGCACACAGCCTGGTGTCTCTGTGCTCGGGGGACACGTAGGATCGGTGTGCCGTGGGCCAACTGTGCACAAACGCCAGCTTACCTGGGAAAGGCATCAAAGCAGTATGTTTTCCTGGTGTCTGGAAAAGCCACGCGCAATCCAGACATGAGAGGGGAGTGGAGGATTACTGCTGCACACTCGTACCGCGAGGCCAAGTCTACGGTGGGAACCGTCCCAATGCTCTGGCCATAGAGAATGATGTTCTCGGGGCTGACACCGTACCTGAGGAGACCAGAGGTTGTATGCTATTAGCCAGTGGAGGGAGAGAAAGAAGCCCATAATTCCTCCCACATATGCTAGCTCCCACATATGCTAGCTTAAAATCACACATCTAACGTGTATACCTTGGCTTAATAACTCTTCAGTGAAGTCCTAATGATATAAAAGATAGAATTCACCGGAAAAAGTTACTGAGAAACAGTAGATACTGAGAGACAGTCGTATTTCCCTTAGCCTCTTCCCACGCTGAACACCTGCAGGTATTTCAGGCCGTTCGGTTAGTTGTTAGACAAATGCTATCTGTATGAGAGGCCTCTGTGTGCAGAGACCGCATTCCTAGGCCCAGGCTCTGAGAGGAAGGTGTGCAGCTGATGCCGTGCATGATGAGGGTACAGAGCGCAGCGTCAGGATCGATTTCACTCTTCCCTCCCCTTTCTCTGGTCACTAAATCCAGCCACTTCTGTGTCTGAGATGCTTTACAGATACCAGCCCTGCTGTGTGGGTCCACCCCCTGCCAGGTGATCAGGGTCTGCCTGTCTGCCCAGTAACAAAGGTCTCCCTCACAGGGGCCCAGGGGCCCACCCCAGAGGCCTCTGGAGTCCCTGTTACTTCTGCTTCTCCATTCCTCTCCATGAGGCTGCGACTGCTCCAGTGGCCTTCCGGTCTGTTCTGTGTCCTTGTGGCTTCTGTGTACCCCAGTATGGCGGACGAGGAAGCAGGTGTCCTAGTTCCTGACTACTGACCTGGTTTCAATTCCCCGCATCACTCTGACTCACACTAATGGCACACTTCCACAGCTTGCCAGCTTCCATACTAGCTTCTACTTCCTTCCCAGGGCAGAACCTGGGGAGACAGCCCTCCCTCCCTCCCCACTGCCCACCGTGCCCGTCTGACCTCTGCTCCTCTCCCAGCCCTCCCCAGTCCACCCCTGCACTTCCATCGTACACGAGGTCCTTGGGACCAACAAACCAAACTTTTCAGCAAATCTGAGGAGCTTACAGTTGCCTACACCTGGTCTGCCTGACATTATCCCCAGACCCTCCTGTCCCCCTGACCTTTCTCCCCTGACCCTCCTGTCCCCCTGACCTTTCTCCCCTGACCCTCCTGTCTGCCTGACGTTATCCCCGGACCCTCCTGTCCACCTGACCTTTCTCCCCTGACCCTCCTGTCCACCTGACCTTTCTCCCCTGACCCTCCTGTCCCCCTGACCTTTCTCCCCTGACCCTCCTGTCCCCCTGACCTTTCTCCCCTGACCCTCCTGTCTGCCTGACCTTTCTCCCCTGACCCTCCTGTCCCCCTGACCTTTCTCCCCTGACCCTCCTGTCTGCCTGACCTTTCTCCCCTGACCCTCCTGTCCACCTGACCTTTCTCCCCTGACCCTCCTGTCCGCCTGACCTTTCTCCCCGACCCTCCTGTCCGCCTGACCTTTCTCCCCTGACCCTCCTGTCTGCCTGACGTTATCCCCGGACCCTCCTGTCTGCCTGACCTTTCTCCCCTGACCCTCCTGTCCCCCTGACCTTTCTCCCCTGATCCTCCTGTCTGCCTGACCTTTCTCCCCTGACCCTCCTGCTCCCGCAGGCTGGCTCTTCACCGACTCAGCACACACAAGGCCCTCACTGCTCAGTATCCGTCAGCTTGGCGGCATCTCTGGCTTTGAACAGACTGAACCTAGCCAAAGGCTACTGATGAGCAAATTAAAAATAAAGTTCGGCAATCATTATCGTTACAATGGATACAAAATCCGCTCCAAGGTTAGCGTCTTGGAGATGGGAGAGGGACCCGTCTGACCTAGTTTGGTTACAATCACACACAGGAAACACGTGAACATTAGTGCATCATCTCAAACTCCAGCACCAAGAAAGACTCCCAGCTCTCCTCAGGGAGAAGCCATGCTGTATACACCAAGCCCAAGACTCCCAGCTCTCCTCAGGAGAAGCCGTGCCGTATACACCAAGCCCAAGACTCCCAGCTCTCCTCAGGAGAAGCCGTGCCGTATACACCAAGCCCAAGACTCCCAGCTCTCCTCAGGAGAAGCCATGCCGTATACACCAAGCCCAAGACTCCCAGCTCTCCTCAGGAGAAGCCGTGCCGTATACACCAAGCCCAAGACCCCCAGCTCTCCTCAGGAGAAGCCATGCCGTATACACCAAGCCCCTGGCAAAACTGCACATCTGGCTCTCAGCTCTCACATGTTGGTGTTTTCACACACACAGGCTAGAGTCCGGGCTGGACACAGCACAGACAGATGTGCATCTAGGAGAAGCCTGTAGGCAAGACGGAGGCTGGGCAGGAGGCTCGACTCACGAAGGCAGCTGGGGCAGGAGGCTGGAGTGCCAGGGCAGGGCTGCCCGTGGGAATGGGCACTTGTGGGACAAAACTGGTTTGTTTTTCTTTCATTGTGAGCTTTCTTTTCTTTCTACATCCATGACCCAGCCTGGCCTCCGAGACACACACATCCTGTTTGAGTGAATGGGCCCTGGCTTCCCCTTTGTCTGAGTTTTCGCATTTATCTTCCGAAGGAGCATGCTTGGCACCGTTCCGCTGGCTTTGAAGTCAACATTTTAAATATTTCAGAGATAGAATCCTAGGAGATGCCTGAAGACACAGGATGAAGATAAAGGCACAGGTGAAATGTAGAAGACATGGGGGCAGGAGCATGAACAGGCCACCAGGTCCACGGGTGGAGAGGGGCAACCAGTCCTGTGCGTTCTGGGGCCCACACGCACACACGCATGCGCACACGCATGCGCACACATGCACATACGCATGCACACACACATGCACATGCACGCATGCACATGCACTCACGCACACGCGCACACACACACACACTTTATACTGCGACCAGGAGGAAGAATGAAAGGCATTCATCACTGTTCCCTAAGATTCACCATTGTAGGGTTAGAAAGGTTTTTAGTGCTTTATCAAAGTCTCAGAAACAGGTTTCTCCTGGTGTTAATTCCAATGGCAAAAACATAGGCAACACTGAAAAGTATTTGCTTCATTGGTGCTGTCTGAGAAAAGTAAAAATTTTAAGGTGATGGTGTTGGCTGTGCCTGTTTCTTTTTTTTCTAATTTGAAGTAATTTGGTTAAAATGGATACTGATAAACAATATAAGTGATGACAACCTCTGAAGCTTTAAAATGCTGAGCAGCCAGCGTTGCACTGTGGTTATAAGACCACATAAGCCCACTATCCTGCTGAACGCAGTGCCGACTCCCTCCAACGCTGCAGAACTAGGTGCTCTTGGTTTCACACATTTGGGAAACAAGGAAATAGATTCACATTAAGAAAGAAGGCATCATAAGTAAGTTTACCAAAGTACGGCACACAAAGCGATGAGAAGGGGGTTGAGAGTCGCCTTCAGACAAGACCAAAGGGAAGAGCAAAGGCATCGAGAGGAGGCAAGACTCTGGCCGGGCCTGAGGAAGGGCCTGGCAGAGGGCAGCTTTCATGCTAGGAGAAAACTCAGTGTAGAAAGAAGGCCAGCAAGGGAATGGAAGGGTTTGGAGCTGGGCACAGACCCTGAGAACGTGGACACTGGCTATGAGCTAGCTTCTGGTTCATTGGGGCAGAAGGAGGGCCATCACAGGTCCAGCTTTGGCTCTGGACGCAACACCACCCAGAGCACTGCCCACACACGGCAGCAGGGGCAGCTGCCAGGGTGGCCGCGCCGGTGCAGGAACAGGGAGTGGACGCGGCAGCTACGTAACGATTGGGGCTCCATGCCCAGAACCGTGCACTCAAAATGGATACAACAGAAAAAACCAAGGCAAGTATTCCTCTTAAATCTCATTTACACAAATAACTTCCTTATTAGAACAACAGAAAATTCCACTTCTCTTGAAGTCTGAGATTTTACTATGGAAGTTAAAAATACATATTAAATAAAGCAGGAACAAACAGTAAACGCTGTTATTGTAAAAATCTCTAAAATCTAAGGGCATTAAAACTATAGCTGTATGCATTAAAATTAAAATTGCCTGCATCTCCAGCTACTTGGGAGCCTCAGGCAGAAGGAAAACTACCAGCTTGTCTCAAAAAATGTGTGTGTGTGTGTGTGTGTGTGTGTGGAGTGCACTTTACAAATCTAGGGGACTATTCTGCTCCTGGCATACCTCAGAGGAAGGAAAGGCATATGGAAGTCTGAGGTCTTAAAATAACCCCATTCAAACATAACACTGACTTCCTGACGTGAAGACCCTTCCGCCAGCCCTCCTCCTTGCCTGGACTTTCAGAACGCGCCCAGAGGAAAACACTCCTTGGTTAAACCACAGTGACCCTCCCTCTTCTTGGGAGATCAAAGGACTCTCTCGGGAGCACCGCAGAAGACAGCCAGTGTGCACGTGGGAGCGCAGGCAGCAGTCTCTTGCATCTGAATAAAACAGTGACACACTCCGATTTCTATATGTGAACACTCAAGGCAGCTGTTACACAGGCCGGCTGCACACTGCACACCACCCCCACCTCTCGGCCAAGGGATTATCTGGGCTAGATCCATCTCCAGGACCACCAAACAGTGGGCTACAACTGCCTAACCCAGAGCCTTCCATTTCCTCCTCCAAGTCAGCCTAAAATAAGACCTAGAGTAACTCCAGTGTTACAATTTAATTAAAATACTATGCAGTATATAAACTTAGTGAAGCAAATCTTACATCCTTATTTATCCTAAACAAGAAGCTGTTTCTGACCACTAAGAACATCATGTACTACGACATTAATAATTCAAAATACCCACCTAACCACATTCCATTCCATACACTTCACCATAACCACTTACAATAGGTACATTTATAACAAGGTCTCTAGAGTAAATGCAAGAACCAGAGATAGGCAGCATAAATAGCATCACATACAAACAGGCAAAACTGAAAGCTCGGAGGTACGCAGTGTGTGTGTGTGTGTGTGTGTGTGTGTGTGTGTGTGTGTGTGTGTGTGTGTGTGTGTGTGTGTGTGTGTGTGTGTGTGTACCTGGGGCTTAAAGTCAGGGCCTGGGCTTTCT